CTTGTTCTCATGCACCATAGCACCACATGAGACTTCCTCTTCCCTGTCATGCATAGCGACAAGAACAGGGGAAACAGTGTTTCCAAAAGTACATTTTTGTTCTATAGCAGAAATGGAGCTTAAAAACTTCAGGGGACCTGGAGGATCTTTCAAAGTCATAGAAGGGATCCTCCAGTGAAGAAAAAGGAGGAAAGTATCCATGGGGACACCACAAGGCATTTCTCAAGGCACTTAATGTAACAAGACAACTGAGAGCAACTCGTGTATAGATAGCAATTGAGGTAATTAAAGCTTAGTTCTCAGCCTGCTCCCTACTCCACATAAAAGAAGCACGCAAGTGCACAGACTGAAAACACATCTTGCTCTAGTTTAACTCCCGTGCCTCATAGAACACTGCTGGCTTTACTACGGCCATGCTATGTACAATCAATAACAGGTACTGATAGTGTTTGCACAATATTTCAATAAGCAAAGTCAACCAACATCACTTCCTCTGTTTCTGTATAGCCTTTACAAGAATAGCCCTTTGAAATGCTTCAGTAAAATCAGCTTACTCAGATTTTTTTTTAAACTAGAACAGAGAGCAGAAGGGTATCATCATCATTGGGTTTTGTACATAAATCCGCTATTTACCACTGGTATGTTGCTATAATGAATTGCCACTATCTCTTGAGTTACTTGCTGGGTTATTAGATTACCTAATTACCTAAGTTCACAGAATCAAAAAAAAAAAAAAAAAATCTTCATTATTTCCTGGGAAACGACCTTCAGAAGCATGTATTCCACCTCCTTTCCCAAAGCAATGCCCAAAATATTCCCGTAGGAGGTTTGTCTGTTTTATAAAAACCTCCAGCGATGATGCTTCCACAGCTTTCTCAAAGCCAAGTAACTGCAGAACCAAAATACCCTTTTAATTTCAAAGCTTTCTTAAATGTTTACCTAAGTTTTGTCACCTTCATATTGAGCCCATTTCTCTTAGACCTAACCCCAAGCAGTCAGGCAGTACAGTTTATTCCCCTCCTCCCCGTAGGAACCTTCCACATACTTGAACACTACTATCATGTCTGTTACTGGCCTTGTCCCCTGTAGACTAAACAATCCCTATTCTTTCATCTTCTTTCCCAGGTCATGTTTTCCAAATCTTTCATCATTTTTCCTGCCTTCTCCCTGGACACCTTCCAGCTGGCTCTTGACTGTGTTGTGCCCCAAACTAGATGTTAAACCATTTCAAATACTGAATGGAGCGGAGGGGTTATTTCGTGCCTTTTCTTTACACATCCTAAAACAGTGCTTTTCTGAGGAACGTGGATGGGGAGCCCTTGTTCCTTGCATGACTGTATGACACCTACGGTCTCAGGTCTGTGACCCCTCTCCCTCTCAGATGTGCTGTCCTGTGCACATGGACCAGGCCTGAGAGGATTTGAGCTGGGACACTTCCCTGCAGGCATGGTCACAAGTTCCAGAGTGAGAACCAAAGCAGGCAGCGGATCAAAACAGAAGCTGCCCACTCAGCCGAGCACTGGCAGCCCAGGTGCCAGGGGGGAGGAGGACATGTCACAAGCTGGTTTTCTCTGCTGGTCTGAGAACCAGCTATGATTTTTTTACCACCCTATTCAACCAAACAATTCAGGACAAACTGCTACTCCAACACAGCCCAACACCAGCTCACAGACCTTCTTCTGTAGAACCACTAATGAGTCAGCCCCATTCTGTCTCATGCATCTGGATATTTCTATCTCTCTGTAGAACTTCTATGATTTTATCCTGGCTGTTTTTCAGGTTTTTTTCCCAGACTACTCCTCCTGTTAGCCAGGGCAGCTTAAAACTTTAATCTTGCCTTCCAAGCAGCCTGCAGTCCCCCTTCACATTTCTTATCCAATGCAAATTTAACAACTGCTCTCTCTGCTGCATCAATCATTTCAATAATGAAAACAGTGAGTATTACCAAAGTCAGGACAGATCCCTGGGGAATCTCACTCACTCCAGTCTTGCAGTTTAACAGCAAACCATGAATAACTACTTCGACTAGTGCCTGGTGAAATGCTGTGCACCCACATTACAAACCAGCTAACTAGACATCCAGCCTGCCTCAAAGAAAGCTGTGTGAGAAAGCAGCCAGAGCCCCCCATTAAACAGGGAGCAATTTCAGTCAGACAGAGGGGTCCAATTACACTGTCATAGGCACTGTTGGAAAGTCTTTGCTAAACACTGCCATAAAAATGTAATGCATGCTGATAGGAGAAAAAAGAGGGTTGATAACCAAGCTTAGGATGACAGGAAGAACTTCAGCAGAATTGAGACAGCAGGAGCTTCACTTTGCTTCCAAGCAAGAGACTTGGAAGAAGCAAACTGAAACACAGTATAAAAATTACAGGAATTTTGTGCCTTCCATCAACTGCTACCGACTTAGCAGTTAGAGGAGATACTATCACACAGGTGTGATTTGTTTGGGTTTTTTTTAGAAAAAACAAAATGTTTTCTTAGTTCTCCCAGATGTTTTTCTGAATTGCATTCTTTACTGCTCCCTAACAGCCTATTCTGCTCAAGGACCACAAACAAACCAGACAGATAGCAAAGACCATGGTTCCCAAAACCCCCATAAATGCTTTAATCAACCACTGAAAACATCCCCAGCCCCATGCCACCACTAGGAGAAGCAAGTGGCAGTGGCTGGTGCCTGAAACAGGGAGAAAGGGTAAGTTCCATGGAAAGTGAAAGGTGAGGCAGCTTTCCAACACTGGCTCCCTCTGCTTGCCAAAATAGCAATGCCCAGCCCACGCCTCACTCCTACTTCTGTGGAAGATGCACTTGCTTCCCAGGAGAGTTTACTCTCGCAATGCAGATGTGCTTCGCCGAGGCAATCGTGCTCTGTTGCGTAACAGAACGCAGAATTAAACAGTGTTTGCTGTTCGGTGCGTTTTATTTAAAATGTGCACCATGAGTTACTGTGGAGTTCAGTGATGGTGCCAAGAGTGTTAACACAATGATTTTAGCAGGGAAGAATACATCATATCCTCCCTACTCCCACAGCTTACTCAAGTAGTAATTTCACAAAATCCTTTTGTACTTGTCAGTAAAATACAAAGTCACACATTTATGTGACTTCTGTTTGATCTTTGGTGACTGTGGATATCGTCACCTTGGCACCTAACACCCCTGCACCAGTGGCAGGCACAGGGTGGCGCTGGGAAGAACCTGGCAGGTGACTGCACCGAGGTGCTCAAAGCTGAGCCCTTCACCCCCTGTCCTACAAAAGAGGGGTTAAAAATAAATAAATAAAATCATGAGCAGAACCCAGAACCAATCATTTCCAGTCCCCCCTGTGAACAACGAGGAACAACACTGCAGATGCTTCCATACTTTGAATACGACTATACATACATTTAGATTCTTCTCTGTTTTCAGGAGTAGCACAATGCCATTCCTCTTCAGAGCAATACAGGTCTTTTCTAAAATATATTATGCATAACCTAGTTTTCCACAGCGGAAAACTCACCAAGGGAATACTGTTTGCTCATACCAGAAATGTATCCCAAAATTACAGTAATTTATAGCCTCATTTTCATTGACAAAAGAAATAATACCATTCTCTTCTGACAAATATCAGTACACTGAAAAAGTAATGAATAAATGTCTATAAACAGGTATCAAATAAAGCAACTGCCAATCACCGCAACAAAACTTCAATTAAATCATATGGTAAGAAAAAAAAAAGAAGTAAAAACAAGCCATATAATTTGAAATCAAAATAAAAATCTGTCTGTCATGGCAAAGCACAGTTCAGAGCACTAAAATACCATAACCTGTTAAGTGATCGGTCATCTAATTGTTAATTGTAAAGTTCCAAGTTTACAAAACAAAGACAAACATCCAGATACAGCAAGGTACTTTGGCATATACCAAAGTACATCAGTATTTCAGAAACATATTTTATGTGACTGAGTTTAAAACTCTGAAACCGTGATTTTTTTTTTAAGAGACAGAAAGTGATCTGCACTGTTCACATTTTAGTATTAGAAATCAAATCAGCATTCAGCCTCAGCTGAATACATATTTCAGGAGACACATCAGAAAGAAACCTGAGGATTAGTCCTAACACAAAAGGATGAGGGAGTTGCTTGCTGTCATCCTGCCAATTTTCCAGAACAGAAGAGTTAGCAAATGAGGCATAAAAGGATGTGAGCAAAGAAACTCATACCTGAAAAAAAATGCAGAAATATCAGGTGTGCAAGAAAATGGTAGTAAGTAGTATCAGGCCAAATCACAAGAACTGCTAACCAGCTGAAAGTCTTTCTGGCCTCAGCTGGAAGTACTTAGCACCCTTAAGGCTGGTTAAACTTATAAGCCATTCTACACTGATGCTACAAATTAAATTTGAATATTCAGCACTAAATTTTTTACAGTTCTGATCTTCTCCTGGAATCAATGTAAGGCAGCAGCACTAACCGAACCTCTAGTTACATTAAAGAAAATCTTCCTGAGTGCCTCCCTATCTGTTACTGTGAATAAATTAATACAGTCCTCTCTTTTATTTCTTATAGTGATAGCAACATCAAATATACCTATGCTATTGCTGTAGGGAAAAACGCAAAAGGTTCCCATTTTGGTCTCTGAAAATTCTCTCATTAATGCAGCTGGATGGCTTTCTGAGTGCAAAGACAAAGGGGGGCACTGCTGAAGTGTGTAGGTGCACTCACACACACGTGCAGGGCAAGTGGCAAAGAAAGAGGCACACACTCGATAGTGCAGATCTCTGAACAGGAATGCAGCAACCAGCCCCAGCCGGGGCAGAGGGACAGTCATGTTATGGTAGGGTTTGAGTCAGCTGCACCCTTCCCTATCTGCCAAAGTGGGCTGACAGGTTTCATTTGGCAAAGACTACTTCTGGGGGAGGGGGAAAGCCAAGGTGGGGATGAGGAGCTTCACACCTGCCTGGGGACACCCTATAAGTCACAATAGTTATTCTGATACATAGTATTAAAAAAATTAAAAAGTTAAATAAACTAGTTAACTGAAGAAAAAAGGTTTAACTTACTCAATAAGACACCACTTTAAGAGGTTTCCCCAGTTTCCCTGCTGTAAAGCACTTCAGAAAAATTCAGCCACTGAGCTACTGCTTTTCTTGACCTTTTCACTGAAAGAGAGCAGAGTAAAAACAGGAAAGAGCTAAAATGATATGCATTAAAGGTGCTTCACATTAGGAAAGTCTTTTGAGTCAATGTTACAAATTCACTCTGTGTCAGATTTGCCAATATATTGCTTGCTGAAGACTATCTATTAAGAGCAGCAGCAGTCAAAGCAGGCGTGTTGCCTCTCAGCTGTTGCAGCAACACCGTACACACCATATGATGCAGCTACGTAGCATTTGCATCTGGTGCTGGTTTTCCACACCCAAAAGTTCACTTCATGTCTTTTGGTTAATTTATAACGCCCTGAGCCCCAGGCAGATTTGCTCTGCTGATTTCCCTTTTCTTAACAATAACACAAATAAACATGGAAATAAATCTATTGTCTGAGGAACCCTTCCACTAATTCTGTTCTTTGATGGTTTGGTTTATTTAGTATGGTGAGGAATCAAGAGTGAAGTAGATTGTAGCTTAATATTGAGTGTGGTTAATCTTCCCTTTGCATAACGCTGGTACACTATGGCCCAAATACCAGAGATTTATTTGATGTGTACATGCTTTCAAGCATTAGTAAACAAGTTGCAGCCCATTATGAAAGAAGAGCAGATCCAAACAGTTGTGAAGCTCTTTATGTACTAGATTGGCATTGGCAGTGCAATATACTTACATCTGCATGTGTACTAGCTTTAAAACTTGGACACCATTTCATGACAAAATATCATTTTTTAAAACTGTAACTGAAAATATGGCTGAGATCACTTCCCATGACCTGATGCACTGTTGTCTGAATCACAGCAAAAGTAAGCAAGAGGCACAGTCTTCTTTTTCTCTTTTTCTTCTTTTAATTGATTTTATTCCTCGCAATGTAACCAAAATGAGGAAGAACATATACTAGAGCCTCAAAAATGTACAGACACATTCATTCCCATGAATAAAAAAACATAAAAAAACCAAAAAAGCGTCTCCCACTTCTCATTTCTTATTCTTCCATTACTTTGAAGATGTTATAGAACACACAGAAGTATTCTATGAAATATCACTGTACTTTTTACTTTACTAAACCTAGCAAATAAATTACAATCCTACATTCTAAAACATTCTTCTTGTTGTTCATGTACAAATTAAAACAAATTTGTTTCTTTAGAAGCTGGTCTTAAGAGCAAAGCATTAACTTAAAAATTAATTTTAATAGTGAAGTTTCAAGCAACGGTACAGTGGAAGAACTTGAAGTGCACAGAAGCTGCTTGCATGTGGCAATGCTTCCTAGATAAAAGACCCAGTGTGGGCCTACATTATTTTAACATGCACAGACAAAGCCCACCCAAGCTGTAAAGTTAGGCATAAATAAGTCATTCTCACAATATGGTGCATTTTTCCTACCTAGGAGAAGAATCATGACCCCACACTCAGGCACTAGCTTTAGAGTATGGTACCTAATTCCAGCAAATGCTTTCAGCAAATCTCCCAGTGTTTATACTGCATTCACTGACCCCTCCACCACAGGCTACAACTGTACACCAGCCATCACTGGCCTAGATTTTATCCTGTCCTGGGCTGAACACTGACTTGGGATGACTCAGAAACAGTGGCCTCTGTTTTTTCCCCTGCTTAATAAATAAAGAAGCCACAACAGAGACAGAGAGAAATTCAGAGCTGGAGGCAGGAAGGACTGTTCAGACAGCAATTCCAAAATCTTATCCGTAGAGGTGTAGAAAACGTACACTCCTGGAGCAAGCTCTTCAGATAAAGCCTCAAATCTTGGTGGCAACTATCAAATGGACACCAAAGTATATGCCTACAAAGGAGGTGCTGTGAGAACAAACACATCAGTGACTGAGAGACGCCAGGATACCACAAAAAAGTAACACAGTAAGAAGAGAGGATGCCAATGTCTCAGATAAGCAGTTATGGCCATGTTTACTTAAACTGTTCTGCTGAGCTGTTCCCGTTTCAGGCAGAAAACTTTGATTTAAGGAAGAGAGTTGCAGTTCTGTCTTCATATTTTTTCCCTTCAAAGCATGAAAGAACTTCCTTTTTCAAAACCATTTTAACAAAGTTTACATCCAAACCCTCTCAGTCCCAAAAATGTCAGATCTGAACTCTATTAAAAGCAGCAGTTAGTGCAGCCAAATACTCCACAGTATATTTAATAGACTATAATATTTCTAATGCCTTACTGCCCGAAGTCTATGATCTGGAAAACCAGCCAAGCACACCCACCCAAGAGCAGTGACTGCTACAGGGAAAACTGTTATCTCCCTGTGGTCCTCTATCACCACTGGCATGAGCAAACCAGGGACTCTCCAGCTGCAGACAGTGAGCATACAGACCACCTCTCTGGCAAGAGGAAGCCTGAAGGAAGCAGACAAATTAGAAATGAAAGTTGTGCCAAGCATGTAAGCATAGAGCTGCTGTTTCGAACTTCAGGTCCTGCAGTTTTATGGATGTGTTTTATTACTTGATTTTATTGGACCCTTCTCCTCCTAGCCTACTGCTTCCCTCATATCACTTACAGTTCCTCCCATCCGTTTCTGCCTCACATCCTTCAGGCTGGAAGATTGCCCAGATCAGCTTCCCTCATTCAACCACTAACTCCCTTGACGCCAGTGAGGACCAGAGTAGGCATCTGCCCTGAGCTCAGGTATGAGCACCCTGCACACCCAGCAGTACTTTCCCCTAGCTGGCCTAAAGGATGCTTGGGACAAGCATTTTGATGCACATTTCACAGTGGCCAGTTGTGACACTGGAAAATACAGTTCATGCAGTCTCCTGACAGAACACCACAGCGCCTGTTCTTCCATATAAGGCATACGTGTAGGAAAGTAAAATAGCTTTTCTAATAAGTTACACAAGGAGAAGCAGCTCCTGGTACCTCTTACAGCTGACTGGGAGCTAAAATGATACTAATTATACTGTTCAGTTCAACTCCAGCAAGGTTCCATGAGTCCCAGCATGAAGAGCTCTGCCTGAGCAAACCCCCTTTGGGCCCCTCCCTGCAACCAGGTGTGGGCAAGGCACACGCCAGGGGTACCCAGCCTGGCATGGCCTGCTGCTCCCCCTCTGTCACCCTGCACCACAGCACCAATGGCACAGGGCAGGAGCAAGGCTGTCCCCATCTGAGCAAGAGTGAAGTAGATTGTAGCTTAATATTGAGTGTGGTTAATCTTCCCTTTGCATAACGTAAAAATCAGGCTTCCTAAACATCAAACCTGCTGCTGAGGAGGATTTTCCACTCTTGCCAGCCTGACTGCTCAAACGAAGCAAAGGTATGGATGACTGCAGCTCATTCCATGTTATCACGCCAGTGGGTTGTTGTGGATTTGCAATGAAGCAAGAGAGGCAGCGTGCTCAGATATGAACCAGGATGAACTTTTAGGAATGGTTTCTCCTGTTTCAGGCCCATCGATCAGGGGTGCAGTGGAATTTTTAAAGAGCAGTCAGAAATAGTGCAAGAAAAGGAGAAAAAAAAGTATTATTTGCCTATATCTAAATAATGAAATGAGGCATTTTTCACTTCCATGCTTCAGTGTCTCAAAAATAGGAAGGGGAGTGTTATCATTTACTACAAGGCATGAGAAATGAATGTACCAACAAGTACCAACAGTAGCACTTTATTCCCTTTCATAACAGAAACAAGCAGAAAACATTTTACTCCAAAGGATGACTTTTCCAGAAGCTTTCAAGTTCTCTGAAAAGAGCCGTAACTATGACACTGCTCACAGAATGTTTGGTAACTTTATCAAAGATGCTTTCTGTTAAACATTAATTTTTATATAGATTTATTTAGCTATCCTATTGTATTTTCAAAGTCAGCTCATTTAACTATTTCATTAGATCAATAAAGAATTTTGGATATCAACAACTGCACATATAGTCAAAGAGAAAAACAGAGGTGCTAATTGACTCAAAATGGACAGGGAAAATGGCATAAAAATGGAACTGTACAATTAATATTCTAAAAAAACAATTAGCATACCAAAAAGATAACTTATGCCCTCTCTTCACCTGCAGAAAGCCCAAGCAAGCTTTCAATCTTTTCCCACTTGCAAGGCCCTTAAGGTTTTCCCAATAAAAGTGAACCCCACTATAGAACGATTGCATCACCTGACAGCCAGCTTTGCTTTCCTGAGTCCCTGCTCTTCAGAGGCAGACTCCAAGTCAACAGGTTCACAGACCACAGTCAGAGTACAAACTAAAAACCACCATTACACTGCAAACCAACACTGTGCTGCTCACAGCCTCCAGCGAGGGCTGCAGCAGCCTGTGGGAACACTCTTCATGCACATGCCTTCACGCACATGCGGTGCAACACTCTTGTATCCAGTTATCCTTACAGGTCAATGTTCCAAAAGCATAGAAAAATGTAGGTAATAGATACTATGCAACATTTGAGTTGTATTCAAACAAACTCCAGGCTTAGCAATTAATTGTCTCATTTTCCAGGTTGCCTGAAACTGTGCAGAAAGTGAGCAGGTTCACAGGCAGCCCCCAAATTCCTCATTCCTCTTTCAATCCAATACCTCAGTTGCATCACTGGCATGAAGCATCCACAAGCATATGCCCTCAGGGTAAACCTGACCCCGCAGTAGCACAGAGCAGCAGCAAAAAGCCCATGAGGAGCAGCCTCTTAAATTTTCCACGGGAAAAATTACAATCTGGTCACCTGCACCCAGGCAGTTCCCCATCTGTGAACAGCACACAGGCAGGTGAGGCCCTACCTCTCACAGTTTGAGATGAAAGAGCCCCAGTACTCCCGTGATCCACTCCCAGAGCCTCCAAAATGTCCCTCCAGGAAGGACATCTCCCAGCTTTGAACCCCCTACTCCCTAGGGTTTACATGTAACTACATAGTTCTGATCAGGGGCATGAGCAATTTATCTCTCCTTAGCCAAGTGATACTAGGAGAAATTATCTCCGGATTGAACTGCACGAGGCTCTCTGGTCCTGCCCACGTCTCTTCCTAGCTGTTCCTCAATTTTTCCAAAAGGCAGGGTAATGAACTGCACTC